GGGCTTAAGAGCTAGGGGGAAAAAAGGTTTTGAAATAGAAGAAAAAACATCATTGTCACAACCAAACCTTAATAAACATAAGCAACACTATTTCTCTTTGGTAGTTTAGGCATTTATTGAGATGATTCACATAACAAACTTTTTTTTACACTCTCAAAAAGAAGAATTAGCCTACCTGGATTCTGAACCTGCATAGCTATGTGACCTTGAGTGACTTACTTCATTTCTCTGAAGCTGTTACCTCATTTATAAAATAAGGATAATGGCATACAAATGGGGGGAAATGCATTATTTGCTTTTCATAGTTACATTTCAAAAACCATTGAAGTGAAAGACAATAGAGTGAGTCTGCCACAGGTGTATATATGTGTGTGTGTGTGTGTATACATATATGTATGTGTATATATATTATTAATATTTTTGAAACAGAGTCTCACTCTGTCGCCCACGCTGGAGTGCAGTGGCATGATCTCAGCTCACTGCAACCTCCACCTCTCAGGCTCAAGGAATTCTCAGCCTCCTGAGTAGCTGGGATTACAGGCACGTGCCACCAAACCCAGCTAATTTTTTTGTATTTTTAGTAGAGTTGGGGTTTCACTATGTTGGGCAGGCTGGTCAACTCCTGGCCTCAAGTGATCTTCCCACCCCAGCCTCCCAAAGTGCTGGTATTACCGGCGCCTGGCTTTTTCCACTAACTATTTTTTACACTCCTTTTCCATCTAGGACTTTAAGTGTAGCATACCAAATAAAAGAAAAAACCTGTCTGCAGAAGTGGCAAGGTGGTATAGCAGAAAGAACACATGCCACAGAGTCAGATAACTTGGGTTCTAATTTGGTTCCTACATCCTTCTCATGTCTCTGTCTGTACATTTCAGCTTCCTCTAATATGTATTGTTCATGTGATATTTTAGCACTTCATCCCATACGTGACATAACTGTATTTTTTTTTTTTCAAGATGGAGTCTCATTGTGTTGCCCAGCCTGGAGTGCAGTGGCACAATCTTGGCTCACCGCAACCTCCACCTCCCAGGTTCAAGCGAGTCTCCTGCCTCAGCCTCCTGAGTAGTTGGGAGTACAGGCACGCACCACCACGCCCGGCTAACTTTTGTATTTTAGTAGAGACGACGTTTCACCATATCGGCCAGGCTGGTCTCGAACTCCTGACCTCGTGATCCTCCCACCTCGGCCTCCCAAAGTGCTGGGATTACAGGCGTGAGCAACCGTGCCTGGCCTGACATAACTGTATCTTAATCCCCTTCCCTTCCCTAAAATCCTCTCCAAATATAATTGCAAATTTCATGAAGGCAGGAAATCTATGTCATATATTTCTTTAGTATTCCTTCAACAGTCAGCAGTGCTGGGCCAGAGTCAGTGCCAATATTTGTTAAATGTCAATATTTGACAACACATCTGAGTTTTGTATTTAGATTGAGCACTTACACTTACCTTTGCAAGCTCCACACCAGGATTTATGAATAATCACCATCAGGGGCAGTCCACTTAAAAGCAAAACAAAGAAATTATAATCTAGTAATTCTACTTCTTGAAATTTAATGAGATGAAGATAAATATATGAAGACATTTCTGTAGTATTATTTCAATTGGGAAAATCGTTAGACAACTTAAATGTTCAATAATAATAGGTAATTGCTGTAACAAAATTATTGATAAATTCTAGCATTTCTGTAAATTCTACAAATTTGGGCTTTAAAGTTAGGGAGGGCTGGGCATGGTGGCTCATGCCTGTAATCCCAGCACTTTGGGAGGCTGAGGTGGGCGGATCACTTGAGGCCACGGGTTCAAGACCAGCCTGGCCAACATAACAAAACCCTGCCTCTACTAAAAATACAAAAATTAGCTGGGTGTGGTGGCACACGCCTGTAGGCCCAGCTACCGGGGTGGCTGAAGTATGAGAATTGTTTGAGCCTGGGAGGCAGAGGTTGCAGCGAGCCGAGATCGCACCACTACACTCCAGCCTGGGCGACAGAGCGAGACTCCGTCTCAAAAAAAAAAAAAAAAAAAAAAAATGTTAACAGCATTTCTAAATGATTATTATTATATAATCATTGAAAATAATTTTTAATTGGTAGCTTATATAAAAAACTAGGATACAGAAGTATCTATAGTCTGGTTTTAATTATAAAATATGTACAGAGAAAAGAGCCTAAATGTACCGAAACATAATAGCAGTTTTCTGTGGATGATGGCACTGTGGATGTTTTCCTATACTACATCTATATTTCATGATTTTTCTACAGTATAATTTTTATAATCAGGGAGGAAAGTGTTCACAATGAGCAATGCAATCCACCTGAACCAGACTGGCTAGAGGAAGCTCTTAAGCTCTCAAGGCTCAAATGACAGTTGGAAGACCCCATGTAGGTAGGTAGCCATTGGCTTTCACCATCACACAACCCCATGTCACCATAACATATACTGTATAATAGCTACCATGCACTTAACATATTGATCTATATCTATTATTTACCCATCCCCCTCCACTGGACTTGGAGATTCCTAAGACAAAGAACTCTTAGCTGCCTCTATATCCCTTACATCTGACACATATATTATTGATAGCAAACACTTATATAGCATTTGCCATGTGCCAGGCACTACTGTAAATATACATAAATTAACCCATTTAGTAAGTGTCAAATGAATCATTCAGCCTCCTCACCTTAGGACTACCTCACATCTGGATGGACCTCTGCCTGCAATACTTATAAAAGCTTGTAAACCAAATGAGCAGGGCAAGTTTAGGTGGGTAGTAGGATATAGGTAACTATAGTAGCCAAAATGTGCTGAACGTTTATTATATGACATTGTGCTGTTTATGCATTATCTCATTTAAATCCTCAAAATAACCCTAGGGTAGATACTATTAATGGTCTCACAATAGAAATGAGAAAACTGAAATGCTCAATACAGTAAATATTTGGCCACATAAAATCTAGGTTCTAGGCTGGACGCAGTGGCTCACACCTGTAATCTCAGCACTTTGGGAGGCCGAGGCTGGGGGATCACTTAAGCTCACAAGTTCAAGACCAGCCAGGGCAACATGGTGAAAACCTGTCTCTACAAAAAAATACGAAACTTAGCCATCATGGGGTGCGCGCCTGTAGTCCCAGCTACTTACAGCACTGCACTCCAGCCTGGGAGACAGCCAGACCTTGTCTCAAAAATAAATAAATAAATAGATAAATATATAAATAAATATAAAAACCCAAAACAAAACCCAAGGTTCTGCCACTTACTAGGTAACTCAGAAGTCCAACTTCAAAACCAATGTTCTTTCTGTTACAGTCTCCTTCAATTTAGAATGGTAACCCAGAATCCATGGTTAAGCCCAATTCAATCAATAACCAACTGAATGAAGGTTGGAAAAAGCCTTTTGAGTTTGCCTCATCCAAACTCCATTTCACACATGAATCCTCTTGTTTATCAGAAACAAAAGGTAGTATAGATTACCTCACAAGCAAGGAATATACCATGAACCAAGGCAGCCCATCTACCCCATCTTTTAATAGCTCCATAGTTTCAGAGCATGCATGTTTTAGAATGTCTTGCTTTCTCTTTTCTCCCTGGCAAACATCTATTTATCCCTCTAGAGCAGGGGACGGCAAACTAGGGTCTGCAGGCCAAATCCAGCCCACCGCCTGCTTCCACAGGGCCCATGATATGCAAATGTTTTGTTGTATATTTTTACACTTTTCAATGTTTGCAAAGCAAATCTAAAAGACTCCTTTGTGATGTTAAAACTGTAATTCACAGTTGAGTGTAGTTTTATTAAAATACATTCATGCTCATGTTTACTTACCATCTATAAGTAGCAACAGTATTTCATGGTCCACAAAGCCTAAAAACATTTACTATTTGGCCCTTTACTGACATTATTCTAGAGTGATGGTTCAAGTGTTAACTCCTCTATAAAACCTTTCCAAAACCACCTCTCCCAACAGCTAGTTAGTCTTTTTCACCAGGTTTCCAAAACATTTTGTCCTTTGTCATCATCCTCTGACCACCAGCCCATTTCATCCTTTTTTTTTTTTTTTTTTTTGAGATGGAGTCTCGCTCTGTCACCCAGGCTGGAGTGCAGTGGCACAATCTCGGCTCACTGCAACCTCCGCCTCCCAGGTTCAAGCGATTCTCCTGCCTCAGCCTCCTGAGTAGCTGGGATTACAGGCACAGGCCGCCTCACCTGGCTACTTTTTGTATTTTTAGTAGAGACAGGGTTTCACCATGTTGGTCAGGCTGGTCTTGAACACCTGACCTCATTGATCCACCCGCCTCGGCCTCCCGAAGTGCTAGGGTTACAGGCGTGAGCCACTGCACCCAGCATAATTGTATCTTTTACTTGTATTTATCACCACATATCTCTTTGTTTTTCGAGTTTCACTGTTTCACTGTTGCCCAGGCTGGAGTGCAGTGGTGTGATCGCAGCTCACTGCAACCTCCACCTCCCAGGTTCAAGCAATTCTCGTGCTTCAGCCTCCAGAGTAGCTGGGGATTACAGGTACACCATCATGCCCGACTAATTTTTGTATTGTGAGTAGAGACGGAGTTTTGCCACATTGGCCAGGCTGGTCTCGAATTCCTCACCTCGATTTCGGACTCCCAAAGTGCTGGGATTACAAGCATGAACCACCACACCCAGCTTCTCACCACATATCTCAAGATCAAAAATACTGTATCTAATTGGTCTTTGAAAATCACAGGCACTGTTAAAGTAAGTACTACTTTAATTTCATTTGTTCAATGAAATCAATGAAGAATGAAATTGACAAGCTTACAATATTTGCCTTGAAATATAGAATGAAGCACAACAGTTATGGAAATTGTCACAACATAATTACTCTAGAGTAGATCAAAACATTTACTCTCTCAGAACTATCAAAATACTACTTCACTTAAAGGAACAATGACAAGTATACCTAAAATGTTAACATGAAAGTTACACAGGGAACATTAAGTGAAAGAAATTCCAGTAGACTATTTTTAAAGATTTTATCAGAGGAAATAATCTAGTAGATAACTTGCTTACTTCCACAAAAACAAAAGTTTCCCAAGGATAGACACCAATGTAGTTATCTGTGAACTCAGTCCCAGAATAGAGACTAGCAAAAAGTCAGTACAGTACTCAAAAAATACTTTTGTGGTATGATAAAAGGGCAGGTGCAGATGTAGAACTGTGCCATCTTCAGTTTCTGTTCACAATTGTTTTAAAACAATTCTCATCCATCCAGTCTGCTCTCCCACGCCTCAGATGAAGGAAGCCAATGGTCAACGCTCTGTGATATCCCAAGTAGGATCCCATCTAGGCAATCCCTGTCCACCTGAGCTCCGTCCTCTGGAGGGATTTGCCAAGATGCGCCACGATAGTTCTCCATTCTCTTTAGTCTCAACTTATGCTGTAAACCCAAGGACTGGCACAGGGGCATGCAGGAAAGTTTGAGTGAATCAGTCACAACAGCTCTAGTACAGTACTGCATCGATATGCTCTGGAGACCTTCAGCTTATTCTTCCCAGAGAAATAATGTGGAGTGGAGATCAGAAGCCATGCCTTCTCCCTACCTCCTCTGGTTAGTGCAGGCTCTGGCTCAGATACTGAAGAAACATGTTGGCCAGCTGGGGCAAGTTCTCATTGTTGCGATGCATTTTAGTGTACGAAATAAACTGGCGACGAAGGCGACTCAGTTCTGCCATGGTCAAGGGCCGGGTAAACCTCAAGTGCTCTGTGGTACCAGGAAGCGTGAGCAAGTCCCCGGGGACAGCGCTCTTCTGCGCTTCCATCAATCCGGCCAGTACTTGACTCGTGACCTGGTCCAACTGGTGCAGAAAGCTGCCGGAGGCGAGCGGCTGGGACTGCGTAGACTGATGGGGTGGTGGGGCTCGGTTCTCAAACAGGGCAGAGCGGATCCCCGCCACGGGCAACGGCTCCTCTAGCCCCACCAAAGTGAATAAAGGCCGGTCCCAGCGATTCCGAGAATCGGGAGCCTCAAAGCGCAGCGTTAGGGCCTCCAGGAGTTCTGGAGAGTAAAAGGAACCCGACACGTGCTTTGCAGATTTCTCTGATTCCGGAGTCACGAGAGCTGGCGACTCTGCAGTCCCGGATTCTTCTCGCTCCAGCTCCTTGGGTACGTCGGCCTGGACACTTCCATTTACTACAGAGCCCGCAGTATGCAGTTCCTTGAGGACGCGGCTGCCCGCCGCCTGGGGTCTCCCGTCCTCCTCAGCGTGTGGCCGCCAACTCACACTGACGTTCCGGCCCGGGTTCTCCTTCGCGCCCGCCACCTGAGGTCCCGCGCTCGGGCCGCCGGGCCGTACGCAGTAGACCAGGCAGAGCGGGGTGCGCGCCGCCCGTGCCAGGCAGTAGAGCTCGTAACGGAAACCTTTGATGTAGTTAAGTGAGTCCAGGATGACCACGTCGTGGCGACTCAGGCGCCGTTCCACGGAGGCTCGCAGAGCTCCACGCAATGCCTTCTCACGGGCAGAATCGCCGTACACGGTTGGGTCTTCTGCGCCCAGGACAGCTGCGTCATCCACCACGTACACCGCGCGGCCCTCAGCAGCCAGCGCCATGCGCAACTCTTCAGCTCGTCGGCTCTTGCCGCTGTACGGCAGCCCACAAAACACCACAAGCGGCATCCTCTCAGGGAGCGACCATAAGCAAACGCGCTGCCTCAACTTCCGGGTTGTACGCGTCTCTGACGTAAGCCGGAAGTGCAAACTTCTCTTCCTGTCTCCCTCGACTTTTACAGACCCTCTTGTTTCTATGGAAACTGGAGTTCTACGCCAACTAGGCCCAGGTTCAGCTTTCTCAGAAAGGAGATACAGAGACTAGAATGGCATCAGTTATGTATGCCAAATGTTATAGGCCTCAGGAGAATGTGATCTTCCTGCGGCCAAAGACTGCCCCTCCATTTTATTAATAAGGCCTAAGGGGCATTAAATATTGTAAGCAATCAGCACTATATTTAGCATATAGAAGGCAATTAATAAATGCTGGTTCTCCTTCATTCCTCCTCTTAAACCTACTGGCTCTCAGTAAATGTTTATTCAATTACCATTTCAATCATTCAACATCTCCAAGTTTGGGAATTCAGAGATGAACATAAAACGCTTTCCCCACAAAAGATAAAAGGTCGGAATGGGAAGGATCAGGCGCCTACAATCAAAGTAATACATATTATAAAGGATAGATGCAGGTGAGATTATAAAAGAACAGAAGGGAAACACAAACTACCCAGAGAAATGACTGAAGACTTTATGTAGGAATAGTCATTTGACTTAGAACTTGAAAGACAAAATAGGAATTTTTCTCCTTAGTAGGGTTGCCAGATAAAATACAGGATGCCCAGTTACATTTGAGTTTCAGATAAACACCAAAAACATTTTTAAGCTTAAGTGTGTCCCAAATATTGCATAGATATATTTAAAATTATTTGGTGCTTATCTAAACTTCAAATTTAACTGGGCATCTTTAATTTTTTATTATTTATTTTTTCTTTTTTAGAGATGAGGTGTCAGTATGTTGCTCAGGCTGGTCTCAAACTCCTGGGCGCAAGTAATTGTGCCACCTCTGCCTCCCAAAGTACTGGGATTACAGGTGTGTGAGCCAAAGTGCCTGGCCTGCATCCTTTATTTTATTATTATTATTTTTTGAGACAGAGTCTCGCTCTGTTACCCAGCCTGGACTGCAGTGGTGCGATCTCAGCTCACTGCAACCTCCACCTCCTAGGTTCAAGCGATTCTCCTGTCTCAGCCTCCCAAGTAGCTGGGACTACGGGTGGGCGCCACCACACCCGGCTAATTTTTGTATTTTTAGTAGACATGGGGTTTCACTATGTTGGCCAGGCTGGTCTCAAACTCCTGACCCCAGGTGATCCACCCGCCTTGGTCTCCCAAGGTGCTGGGGCTAAAGGCATAAACCACCATGCCTGGCCATTCTTTATTTTTACTTGCTCAATCTGGCAACTCTGTTATTGCAGAAGGTTTGAGACCCAGAGCGATGAAACCGTTGGATCTCTTGTATAAACAGCAAGCACTATAGGATGGTAGGTGCAGAAATGTGAGTGTGCCTGTGCATGTGTGTATATTGTAGATGCACATATACTGGGGTCTTTGTATCTCTCTTGTACAGTACAGAAAAAACATTCAAGTCTTGGCTCCTCCACTTACTCGTGTTGTAATTGCTGGAAAATTATATAACTTTTCTGTACTTCAATTTCCCCTTCTATAAAATAACCACAGTTATTTCACAGGTTTCCCAATCTAGTAGGTTGTTGTGAGGGTTAAATAAATGTAAACACAGGCCTGGCATGGTGGCTCACGCCTGTAATCCCAGCACTTTGGGAGGCAGAGGAGGGAGGATCACCTGAGGTCAAGAGCTCGAGACCAGCCTGGCCAACATGGTGAAATCCTGTCTCTACTAAAAATACTTAACTAAACCTACTTGAGACTTTATAGACTATTCAACTTGACTCTAGCAGGCAGTATGGTGTACAGGTTTAAAGAGCAGGCTCTGAAGCCAGAGTGCTTGGGTCTGCCACTTGCTAGCTGTGTGCTCTTGGGCAAGTTATTTTAGTAAACGTAGAAAAAACTGTGCCTGACTTTTTTCATCTCTAAAATTAAGGTAACAGTAACACCAACCTCAAAGTTGTTGTGAGAGTTAAATAAGTTGATTTGCATAATTTAATGCCTAATACACAGTAGCACTTAGTACAGCTGACCCTTGAACAACCCCAGGATGAGGGGCACTGACCCCTGATGCAGTCAAAAATCTGCATATAACTTTTGACTCCCTAAAACTTAACTACTAACAGCCTACTGTTGACCGGAAGCCTTACTAATAATATATTCAGTTAACACATATTTTGAGTATAATATTATATATTGTATTCTTACAATAAAGTAAATTAAAGAAAATATTATTAAGAAAACCTTTCCAGGAAGCAGGGGGGAAAAAAAGAAGAAAAAGAGAATCATAAAGAAACAAAAACATATTCAGTATTCATTAAGTGGAAGTGGATACTCATAAAGGTCTTCATCCTTGTCTTCACACTGAGTAGGCTGAGGAAGAGGAGGAGGAGGAAGAGGAGGGGTTGGTCTTGCTGTCTCAGGATGGCAGAGGCAGAAGAGGGTGGAAGGGGAGGCAGAACAGGCAGGCACACTTGGTGTAACTTTATGGAAATATAATTTCTGTCTGACTTTTTTGCTTTTTCATTTCTCTAAAAATGTTTCTATACAATACCAATCCTTTTTCTTTGATTTAGTTTCAGGGCACATATCTTAGAAGGTTCCATGTTGTAAAATAAGTCAAAAGCACTCCTAAATAATTAAAACCTTCTGCCAGATCTGTTTTCTGGCAGTGCTTCTTCTACGTGTTTTTTCCTCATCATCTGGCACTCATCTCCATCAAGTTATCTTCTGTTCATTCCTCTGATTTGGTGTCTGTTAGCTCTTGAATTTATCCAAGATCACATCTTAAAACCCTTTACCCCTCATTTTTTTTTTTTTGCCATATCCACAATCTCTTTCATGATTTTAATTATGTGTCATAAACCCTGTGAAGTCATATGTACATCTGGACACAGTTTTATCCAGCAGGAATTTATTGTTTCAGGCTTGATGGTCTTCACAGCTATTTCTGTAACAACAATGGCATCTTCAATGGTATAACCCTCCTAAACTTTCATGATGTTCTCTCTATTGCAGTTCTCTTCCATAGCTTTGACAGTCTATTTTCCATATAGGACTGTGTGTAATGAGCCTTAAAGGTCCTTATCACCCCCTGATGTAGTAGTTGATTGAAATACTGTTTGGAGGCAAATAGACCTCTTTCTTTCTTTTCTCTTCTCTGCTTCTCTCCTTCCTTCCTTCCTTCTTTCCTTCTTTCTTTCTTTCTTTTTGAGACAGAGTTTCACACTTATTGCCCAGGCTGGAATGCAATGGCGTGATATCAGTTCACTGCAACCTCCACCTCCCAGGTTCAAGTGATTCTCCTGCCTCAGCCTCCTGAGTAGCTGGCTTTATAGGCATGCACCACCAGGCCTGGTGAATTTTGTATTTTTAGTAGAGACGGGGTTTCTTCAAGTTGGTCAGGCTGGTCTGGAACTCCCAACCTCAGGTGATCTCCCCGCCTCGGCCTCCCAAAGTGCTGGGATTACAGGCGTGAACCACCATGCCCAGCCGCAAATAGACCATTTTTATGCCTTTGGTGTTGAACTCATGGGGCTCTGGGTGGCCAGAGTATTGTTCAATATCAAAATAACTTTAAAAGGCAGTCTCTTATTGACTAGGTACTTCCTGACTTCAGGGACAAAGCATTGATGGAACCAATCCAGAAAAAGGGTTCTTGTTGTCTAAGCCTTCTTATTGTACAACCTAAACACTGGTAGCTGGTGTTTATCTTTGCTCTTCGAGGCTGGGGGTTAACAGCTTTATAGACAAGGGCAGTTCTGATGACAAACCTGACTCAAACTCCTGGGCTCTGGTAGTCGTCCTACCTCTACCTCCCAAAGTGCTGGGGTTTTTTGCATAAAACAGTAGAGTTAGCCTATCTCTTCTTGCCTTCAATCTTGGTACTTGCTTCTCTTCTTTTTTTTTTTCTCTTTTTTGAAAACTGAAATAGGGTCTTATTCTGTTACCCAGGCTACAGTTCAGTGGTGCAGTTATAGCTCACTGCAGCCTCAGTCTTCCAGGCTCAAGCAATCCTCCCACCTCAGACTCCTGAGTAGCAGGGACAACAGGCATGCGCCACCACACCCAGCTAATTTTTCTATTTTTTGTAGAGACAGAGTTTCCCATGTTGCCCAGGTTGGTCTTCCTTACTATTAATGTCCTTTGTGGCTTTTTTTTTTTCCCAAAATAGGGTACCTTAATCTGCATTAAATACCTGTTCAGGCAGATATCCTTTCTCTTCGGTGATTTTCTTAATGGTGTCTGAGAATTCATCTGCTGCCTCTTAGTTAGCATAAGCTGCTTCTCCTGTATCTCTTTTTTTTTTTTTGGTTGTTTTTGTTTTTGTTTTTGAGACTGGGTCTCACTCTGTCACCCAGGCTGGAGTGCAGTGGCAGGATCTCGGCTCACACAACCTCCGCCTCCCAGGCTCAAGCGATGCTCCTGCCTCAGCCTCCCGAGTAGCTGGGATTATAGGTGTGGGCCACCATCGCCTGGCTAATTTTTATATTTTTTGTAAGGATGGGGTTTCACCATGTGGGCCAGGCTGGTCATAAACTCTTAACCTCAAATGATCCACCCACCTTGGACTGCCAAAGTGCTGCGATTACCGGCATCACTGCACCCAGCCTATCTTGACATTTTTAAAGCCAGACCTCTTTCTAAAATCAGCAAACCATCATTTGTTGGCATTAAATACTCCAGCTTTAGATCCTTCACCACCTTTTTGCTTTAAGTTGCCATATAATGACTTTGCTTTTTCTCAAATCATATTAGAGTCAATAGGTATGCCTTTCTTATAGTACCCACATAAAAGCTGCATATTATGCACATAAAAAGGCATTTGGCAAAACGTGCAAGGTTTTTGCGCCTGTTGGCATGGCTACAGTGACAACTTCATGAATTTCCTTTTTTTTTACACAATTGGTTCTTACGCTGGATTTATCTTAAAAAAAAAGTTGTTGTTTTTTTTTGTTTGTAGAGACAAGGTCTTACTTTGTTGCCCAG